GAGTCGATATCGGTAATATTGTCTGATAAGGATGCACATTAATGAAATCGTACATAGACGGACTACCGTATATCCCACCCTTACCATCAACTATAGTTCATTACTGTATATTACTTTAGAGTATGAATCTACGAGTCGAAGCAAACTTTGACGAAGTTTTGGTTTCAATAATGGCATTGCATTGACATTTCATGATGTGATATTGGATATTCGATTATAAAAATTTCACATCATGCATATAAAATGTATAACTATATGAAACGCAACACCATATGATATGATATAAAAGTATTAGAGTACATCATTGTCTTTTTTTCCCGATTTTGACCAGTCCAAAAATAAAGATGTGTATAAGAGACAGATATAGTAAAGAATACATATCAATATTCTGTTTACACCAGACATTAGGCCTAACTACTTTCTTAGTAAAATAGTTGTTGGTTTCTTCAACCCATATCATGTTAAAGGTCGTTCATTCCATCCTACATATCTCAAAATCGCTACTCGAGTGGATTTGAAACAATAAAAACTAAACTGTTTCTTTTTTCTTAGTTCTGTTTTTAGGTGTTATTATTTACCTTTTATACGTGTATAGTCTTGATAAAGCAAACTATTAACTCAAATGACGGCGTTGAATAAATGTATCTACACTTTCTAGTCAGAGTGTGATAGCTTTTTGTCTATATTCCTAAACCCTACTATATCCATTTGGTTGCTCTACCAACAAAGCTGTTGGTAGAGCTCCTTTTTGGTGAACTCCTGTTGATACGGTGTTATAAAATAATACACAATAAACAGGAAGATAAAAATTATATCAAATTATGTGTGGAATAACTTCTATGCGATGGTAAAAGGTGGTACGGATAAATGTAATTAATAAAGCATTCATACCTATTTCTTTTTTGCTCTATCTGAAGTATCAATTAACCTCCTTAATTCAACTTTAGAGCCGGTGCCACACACACCCCCACCCCGTCCTACAGACTAAACTCCACTCTGCTGCCCGAAGGGTATAGGCCTAATACGTTCATCTAATCAACACAGCTTAACGAGTGATGCAAAATTTCTAAACTTCTACTTCGAATGTGGTGGTTTTGTCGGAGACGGTGTGCACACCTTATTAGGCCTATATCCATTGTCAAACTTTTGGCCGTGTTGGAACAGCCATTTATTGCAGGCAAAATATAACTTAAACCGTTTTAGGATCGAATGCAAGTTAGCACTCCAGTGTTCTCATATTAAACGCTATAATTCATTGCTAATATTTCTCTGTATATCATAAAGCTTCCCACGGCTTGAAATGGAGAGAGTTTTCATAAACTATTCTAATAATTACCGAGTCTTAACCTAAACGTTCGCTTTGACTTCGGATTAGTTTCTTTCGTGTCATGAAAGTTAGATTTTCAAATTAATGAATTCAACAGTGTCAAATTTTCTAAATCGAGGGTGGGGAGGGGGAAGGCATTTGCTTATTTCAATCTCAACGGGGCGGCCTATGTAGAAATGTGCCTTTATACAATTTGCTTTCAAAGAATATCATTGGGATTCACCAACCCCAATGTTAATACTACTAACACTGGTCTAGTCATAGGCGGATTCGTAAACTACTACTAGGCATATTATTTTTAAATTAATAAGAAATTTAGCGTCACATGTTTAAATATAAAGCTACATTAATAATATTCCCAATCAGTCCCAAAAAGTGAAGTTAGTACATATAAAACGCTGTACACATTTACTGTAATTGCACTAATTTGAATATTCATCATACAGCTATCTGCCTACGTTACGGTAAACATTATTCTTTAAATGGTCCTTATATCCACACCCTAATTCGGATCGTCACCAAAATATAAACATTTCTTCAATGAACTATTCTGGAAAGTTTCATTTTGATCCAATGATCAATTTTAAAGAGATTAATGTCTGGAACCTAATGACCCTCAATTTTACACCCGAATTTGGATCGTCACCAAACTTTATTAATTTTGTCCTTATAACTTGGTTTAAATTTCACGGAAGTTTCATTCAGATCAGTTGATTATTTTTTGAAATATGTGGTCTGGGACGTTTTCCTTTGAATGATCCTCATATCCACACCCTACTCTGAATTGTCACTAAAATTTTAACATTTCTTCATTGGAACATGTGTAAATTTTCTGAAAAGTTTCATTTAGACCTGTGCATCCGTTTTTGAAATATTTTAAACACACACACACACACACCGAAACAAGAAAAAGTGACACACACACCAGCTTTCACGACTGAAAACATATATCTCCTAGCGGGGATGATAATAATAATAATGATATTTCATTATTATTATTATTATTATTATTAATAATAATAATAATAATAATAATAATAATAATAATAATAATAATAATAAATAATAAAAATAATATTAATAATAATAATGATAAATAATAATAATAATAATTATAGGCCTAATAATAATAATATTAATAATAATAAATAATAATGATAATATTAATAATAATAATAATAATAAATAATAATAATAAAATAATAATAATAATAAAAATAATAAATATTTTTTTTTATTTATTCGTTATTTACTCCACCTCCTAGTATTTTTTAGCATCACCATGTGCATTATACTTTGTTAAAATTTTTAACCAATAAATCGAAATACTAATCCTCGTGGGACTGATTTATTCAATGAGGTGTTCACATGTAGGCGTATGTTTTGAAATATATACTTTTCAACGTTTTATTTTTACTGTACAACAACAACGTTGAAACTAGATTAGTGATGTTGAAATATTATGTTCATTTTACAGATATTAATAACGTAACAAGTGATTAAAAAAATATTTCACTGTTTGAATTTTATAAAACTGTAAAATAAAAGTAGAGTAGACACATACTCGAATTGTATGTATTTGTGTAGGTACTCACACCAAGAATTGTACTTGCCCGAAGCAGGCATGGTCATATGTATCAGAATATTTTATTCTACCAACATGACAAAAGATTGACGTGTATGGAGTGCGATATCGCTCTGTATTCGGTTTTTGTACTGCAGTTCAATTTGAAATTTACTGTATTTATCAATCATCAATAGTAGTGCATATAGCATTATTTTTTACGAAAGATGGTTAACCCTAACCCTATTTCATTTATGAGTTGGGGTGTTTTTAATAGAGCAGGCGTGTTTATCCCTAAACCTATATCATTTAGGAGCAGGGGTGCTTAACCCTAACCATATTTCATTTATGAGTAGGGGTGTGTTTAATAGAGCAGTGTGTTTAACCCTAAAC